GGGGTCAGGGTCACTCCGGGGCTGGGGCTGTCCCTCGGGTCGGAGCTCTCACTCGGGGACGGGGTCACTCCGGGGTTGGGGCTGGCCCTCGGGTCGGGGTTCTCGGGGTCAGGGTCACTCCGGGCTGGGACTATCCCTCGGGTTGGGGGCTCCTGGCTAGCGTGGTCTCCGGAATCCTAACTCGGGGCCGCGGAGAGGTGACCCCCCCGGGAGTCCAGACCGCAGTGACTGGTTGGGGGCCGGGACAGCAGTGGAGCGGATGCCACAGGTCTTCATCCTGGGCGGCCCGAGGGTGGGTGTCGCGGAGGTTGGAGCAGGGCAGGGGTGTGAGCTGCTGGTCCCTGCTGCTTCCTGAGAGAAGGGTTGGGTGGGCAGGGGACAGGGGAGCCGCTGGGCCCCACCTGGGGAGAAGCCACCGGACTCCCTGGTGTCCTAGGGATGGGAGGGGTCTGGCAAGGGTTCTTGAGCCCTGCAGGGACGGAGGGTGCCTGACCCGAAGAGGTCCCAGTGCTGCTGGGGCCCTCTCCGGAGGGGGAGACGCGGAAGGGGCGGGGGTGCTGTGCCCACTCTTGTGTGAATCTGCTTCCTCCTACCCAGGCGAGTGTGCAAGGAGTGTTTTTCATCTTTCACACTCCTCTCTACCCTTGCCTGCAATGTGAGAGCTGTGTGTGTGGGCGTGTGTGTGTGTTTCTGTGTGTTTAAAATCCTGTCCCGGCACAGATTACTCCTTTACTTTGACTAGACACTCTGCTTCGGATGGACACACTTGAGCTTTCCCGTGAGGTACAGGTAGCACTTTCAGGCAGTACCGTCGTCCATAAGATTTCATTTGAGCTGCGGGCTGCGGGTTAGCTCGACCACTCACTCCACAGTGCTGGCAGGAGGCCCCCGGAGTCCTTGTGTGTTGTATGTAGGAGATAACAGATCCACGGCACCAAGAAGGTCCCGGGTGGGTACTGACAGGACACCACTGTGGTGCTGGGCACTCTCCAGAGCCTGTGGTACCAATACTGGGACTCTGCACAGCCTATAGCAGAGGTGCCACATGGAAACCAAGGCATATATTATGCTGGGTCCACGGCTTTTTAAAAGAATTTTATTAGTGCATATTTGCAGTGTTTAACTGTGATGTTCATCATGGGGAGTTGGCCCGTATACATAGCATGTCGTAGTTCTTTTCACGTCCCCTTCCCCTCCAGTCTCCAGCCACCAGCCAAAGCTAATGATCATACCTGTGTTTCGTGTGGGTGGGTTTACAAGTTGTCATTGACTTTAAAACCAAGTCAAATAATTACGAGAATCAGGCAGGGCTGCCTCTTGAATATAGCACTGCAGGTTTCTGGTCCTGGTTAAGGTTCACAGGAAACTCTTTAGTGACTGGGGCTCCCGGGCTCTGTGTTTTCTGTGGCGGATGCTTTTTCGGCTTAGGGATCCAGCCCTACTGCATGGCACTGGTGGCGGGGTAGAGCCCATGAAGCCAGCGCTCCAGGCTGTGCTGCTGCCGCTTTGTCAAGGGAGGCCCTGGACAGGAGCATGTGTCCTGGAGCTGGTGTTGCACCTCTGCAGGGCCAGGGGGAGGGGAGGGACGGAGAAGCCCCGGGCTGGAAGTTGGGCGCCTGCACCCTGGAGCCCAGAGGCCACCCAGGAATAAGGAAAGCTACTGGCAGAAACCCCGGAGCAGAGAAGTCCCAGAGGACGAGCTGCCAGTCCCCAGCACCCAGGAGGGTGGTCCAGGCCCACTGACCTTTAGCCCTGCCTAAGGGAGGGAGAGAGCCAAGCTTCTGGGGACAGAACTTGTGCTTGGTCCCGTGGGTGAGGGAGTCTGGGGGGGCATTGTGGTCCCCGTGGACATGGACGGGTCCACAGGCAGAGCCCCTGCTCCTTCCCTCCCGCAGGAGAGTGTACATGGACTACAATGCCACCACTCCGCTGGAGCCAGAGGTCATCCAGGCCATGACGGAGGCCATGCAGGAAGCCTGGGGAAACCCCAGCAGCCCTTACCCAGAAGGTAACCAGAAGGGCCTGGCCTTGGGGTGCCTTCTGTTAACCGCAGATCTTCAGCTGTGAGTTTGGGCCTTTTTCTTCTAAATAGACCAGATTTGTACATTGAGCCTGGCTGGTGACTTGATCTCCAACTTCTAGAGTTTAATCTTTAACCTGCTCCCACATCACCCTTGTCCTGGTCAAGCTGTGCCTCTTGGGTCCATCCCCGAGGAGACCTGGCCAGCGGCCTGCAAAGTCGGCCACACACCAGGCGCCAGGATCGCTCTCGGGCCTCGGCCTTTTAAAATGAAAGTTGGGCTTAAATTCCGTATTATATTGTAAGTTTTCTTATCTTTTGAGATAGTCTTAGAATGCAGACCTCTGAATTAGAGATTTGGGAGAATAAGTTTTCAGGTAAGCCGTGCTGTGGCCGCTTAATATTTCCAGAGAGCCGGGCCGTCCTTGGTCTCCAGTTGTGTCTGTGAGGGAGACTGGTGGAGCACAGCGGCTGTCCAGAGCTGGCTGCTGCGGGGCTGTGGGCCTGGCGCAGCTTCCAGGGTCTCCCACAGCGTGGTGCAGCAGCTCCAGGCCAGGCGCGGTCCCCTGTCCCCCCTGTGGCTCAGCCGAGGGCCACTACATTACCCTGAAGATCACAGAGAAGATCAAATGGTGTTGATTTTGTAGAAAATGTTGAGGCCCTGTGAGAGGATTTTCCATACCTGAGCTGCGTTTCACAGCCTTGCTTCCAACAGTGCAAAGTAAAGGCGGGCTGAACTCGGTACTGGCCAGTGCTGCTGATCACAGCGCCCTACACAGTCTCGGTTCACGTGGGAAAGGGGCGTCACCAGATGCACATGTGATTTTTGTCATTGTCCTTCCCAACCTTAAAGCGTGAGTCTGGGCAAGTATGGGAAGTATTAGAGACTGATAACCCAGAGTAGCAGTGGCCTACACAGCTTGCAGGGGTTTCTCACACAGTCAGGGCCCGTGAGGTGCTTCCCATTACCAAGGATGGGCTCCTCCTCTGACGCTTATGGTCAAGGGGGCTGCTCCAGCTCAGGCCATCACATCAGCAGTCCTGCCTGCGGGAGGGAGAGAGGTATGCCTGAGTCATAAAAGGACACATCTAGCAGTTGTGTGTGGCACTGTGTCCGGAGCTTGGTTGTAATGGAAGATGGGAATGCAGCCTGGATCCCAGGCAGCCTGGCTGGCTGGAGTGTGGGTCCTGCCGCTGGCCGGCTGTGAGGATGGCAGCAGTTCAGCACAGTGGGCCTTGATGCACTGCCCTGGCTGCTGCCCCGGGTCTGTGCCTGCTTCTGCCGATGCCTTGGCCCACGTGTGTCATGGGTCTGATCTGGGAACTTCTGCTTGCACACTGTCGGTGGAGGTGCACTTTCCAGTGCACAGTTAGGGCTGCTCCAAGGGGTCAGGGATTCAGCGTCCTGTGGCTGGTCCTGGAGGGAGGGGTTCGAGGCTTTTCTTACGGCAGTCAGAATGCCTGTGATCCTAGCACTTTGGGAGGCTGAGGCAAGAGGACCTCAAGTTCTAGCCCAGCCTGGACAATTTGGCAACTTAGTGAGACCCTGTTTCAAAGTCATATAAAAAGGGTTGGGGATGTAGCTTCGTGCGCAGGCCTTGCTTGGGTTCAATCCCAGTACCACAAAGCAGGGAGGGAAGGGGAGGAGAAAGTCCCAGTGTCTTCAGGGCTCAGGCCAGTTCAGAGCTGGCCCTGCCGCCCACTCTGTGGTCCCAGGAGGAGGCACCCACTGGGCAGGCCCAAGCAAGGCGCAGCACAACACAGGTCACTAATGCACACGGCACACCCCCCACCTCCACCTCGCCATCACTGTGGAGGCCTATGCAGAGCATTATGGGTGTGAGAATCACTTTGCCTATTTACTTTTACCTCATTTCTTAACTTTATATTTTACAGTGTCCTATAATATATTTTTTAGTAGTGTCTGCTCAAATTTATAATACAAATAAGATTGGGTAGTACCAGGCCTGGTGGTGCATGTGTATAATCCCAGCACTTGGGAGGCTGAGGCAAATTCGAGGCCAGCCTAGGCTACATAGCAGGCCTCTGTCTTAACCCAGACAAAACAAAAGATTAGATAATCAAGAAAGTTCTGGAGACCACTGGTCCATGGCCTGAGAATGGCCACTGGGGCCAACCCAGTGCCCGGAACCTGTGTGGCATGGCCTTCCTGCTGCCTTGCATGGTGCCCTCCACACCCAGGGCCAGCATGTGGCAGGAGGTCTGGAGCCCCAAGTGCCTGTGTGGGTTAAGTGCATCTTGCCTCCTCCCCCTCCTGGCAGATGGCTGCACTTCGCTTTCGTGCATCTGTCCTTCCCAGGGTCACAGGGTCCCTGTGTCTCCAGTGATCACTGTCACTGGCCGCTGTCTTGGGAGGTAGCGCATCTCCTCCTATCTCTCGTACCCTGGGCTGTGCTGCTGTCGCCCATGCCTGTGGTGCTGGAATGGAGTAATGGCTTCTGTTTTTGTCCTTAAGGTCAGAAGGCCAAGGGCGTCATTGCCGCGTCCCGGGAGGCTGTGGCGCTGATGCTGGGTGGGAGGCCGCAGGACATCGTCTTCACCTCCGGGGGCACCGAGGTAAGCGGCTCGGTGGGGTCAGGCACCCGCAAGAGTGGTGCTCACGGTGCTGTTTGCAAGCACGGCACAGCACCAGACTCCCCAGCTCACTTCCAGGAAAGGCAGCAGAGCAGGCATGTTCGGGGGTCTCGAGCAGCCAGCAGGGCCGGATAGCCCTTGGGGACAGCTGAGCGTGTGTGGGCCAGGCCAGCCCTGGCTCGGTCACAGCAGAGCCCCCTTGCTTTGATGTTGGGTGACAGATGAGGACACGGTGTGCAGCCAAAGGACTGCGATCCACAGATGGGTGCAGGCCGGGACTCACAGGAAGCCGCTGGGCTTCTGCTTCCCCACACACAGAGAAGGGCTGGACTGTGAAAATGACACTTTTAAACCTGGCAGGTGAGGCATCCCCATCCTCGTGAGGTGTCACAGTGGTGCATTCTAGGGACAGACAGTGCTTGCCGCAGGGAGGCGCAGTGCACCCTATAAGCCAGGTGGGCCTGGCAAAGGATGAGGAAAACACACGAGGCAGTGGCAGCAGAGCTGTGTTACATAAGCGACCAAGGGCAGCGGTCCAGAGCCTCAGGGGTGCCCCAGACACACACGCGTGCAGCACCAGACCTGGGTCACCCGGTGAGAGAGGTACCTCTGAGGGTGGGTTGGTGGCTGCTCGGTGAGGCAAGGCCCGAAGACTTCCTGGGCATATGAGCGACCCTGGAGGCCTTGCTCCTGATGGCCGAGCCCTGGCAGCGTGAGTGTCTCCCCTTCTGGGTGTCACAGGCCCTGAAATAGCGTGAGGGCTGGGCTCCAGTCACAGAGTCTGTCCCGGTAGCTGAGAGAGAGGCTGTGTGTGCTGCCCGGGGCTGGCATGTGGCCATGATGGCTGGGCTTCTTGTGCCCCACAGGAGGTGCTGTCCCTTCCCAGGCCACCAGCCCGGCGGGGACCTGCTGGTGTGGGGTGGGCCAGTGCTAGGGAGCAGCGTGGTGCCTGGGAAGATGAGTGGGACAGAGCCACTGGGTGAGCTGCCACTGCCGGGTGTCTGGGGAACAGCGGCTCCTGCCCGTGGGCCTGGGTCCTATGCATCTGCACCGCCACTGCGGGTGGGGAGCGCGCCCTGCAGCAGGACCGTGGAGGCCACCATCACTGGGGCCAGCCTCCCCAGTCCTTAAGGCTCGGCTTTTCCAGACCCAGAGTCACCTTGTGGGAGTTAATGTTTTCTTTATCTTTTTTTTTTCAGGGAGGAGGTTGTGCTTTGTTCTGTTTGGTTTTTTGAGGCAGGGTTTTACTCTAATTCATGCTGGCCTTCAACCATCCCATACTGGTCTCAAACTCAGCAATCCTCCTGCCTCAGCCTCCCAAGTGCTGGGATTATAGGCGTGTGCCCTGTTACGTTTTTTAAACAGGATTTCGACATGAGGCCCAGGCTAGCCTAGGACTCCTGGCGACCCTCTAGCCTCAACCTCTGGAGTCCTGGCATTACAGGCATGTGCCACCCCTCTTGGTTCTGGAGTTTGTGTTTCCTGCCAGGCATGGTTGGCCTTTGAAGGGACCCCTCACTTGTGTAAGACACACATCTGAGTCCCCAGCACCAGCCACCTCCTCCCCTTACAGACCCAGTCCCAGCTCCTTTGCTGGTGCCCCAGAGGGACCTGGTACTGAGGGGCATCTGCAGGCCCCGCCCTACAGTTTCCGGTCCTTGAAGAGATTGACTCTAACTTTGAGGAAAATTTATATGAAGCTCAAACCAAGACCAAACACTGCAGTTTAGGGAGGGACGTAAAATCATAAAGAAAGCAAGGAAATGATCCGTTCCCTTTGGAAATCTGCAGGCTGAACACTGTGGGTGGAGTGGGAAGGTAGGGTGCAGGCAGGCCTGGCCAGAGTCTGCCTGAGGACTGGAAATGCCCCTCTGTCCCTCACCCCCCTTCTGCTGTGTTTAGCCTAAGGGAAGTGGGTGATGGTTAAGTTCCTTGGCCAGCAGTCACTGCCTCCTCCTCTTCTTCCTCCTCCTCCTCCTCCTCACCCTCTTGGAGACCAGATGGCCTACAGGTTAAAAGCCAGTGAGCAGGAGGTGTTTCCCTTTTCACCTTCTCATGGTGTTGTTTTGCAAATGTGTCTGCAGTCCCTCTGCATACAAACCAAGGCTTTTGCGGGACAGGTTTGTGCCTTTTCATCATGAATATGCAGTCTACCTTGGCACCAGCGGCTTCCAAACTCGCCACACCAGGGGCTTGCCGTGTCCTGGTGCAGATGCTGCCCTGGAATGGGCTGTGTGGTGCTCCAGGGCGAGGGGGAGCCTGTGGGCCTGTTAGGACCTCGTGGCTGTTCAGGAGACCATTCCCATGGCCCTCCTCATGCCGGGTACTGGCCGAGCTCCAGGACCAGTTAGCCATGAAGGCCCAGGCTCCAAGCTCGGAGCGCCGACCGTGAGCTCCACGCAGTTAGTCTTTCCTCTGAGTGTGAGACACAGACACGGGGCAGGGCACAGGGACTGTCGCCCTAGGCGCTCTCTGCTCTCTCCATAGTCCAATAACCTAGTGATCCACTCGGCGGTGAAGCACTTCCAGAACACCCAGGCTCCCGAGGGCAGCGTCGGGGAGCAGCAGAGCCCCAGGGAGGTGGCCAGGCCCCACATAGTCACCTGTACTGTGGAGCACGACTCCATCCGCCTGCCCCTCGAGCACCTAGTGGAGGAGCAGGTGGCCGGTGAGTGAATTGGGGATGCGGGGCCAGCATCCCTTCCACAGGTAGACTGGAGTCTCTTGTGTGAAGGGGCCACGACTGTTTGCCCATTTGGCGGTGGGTGGACAGCAAATGTGTATAAAGGTTGCCCAAGCTGGCCCTAACCCACTAGGCTTGAGCCATCCTCTTACTTCAGCCTCCTGAAGGGCCAGGACTGCACATGTACACCCCCAAGCCTGGCTGCATTTAGTTCCTGTGTAGATGTTGTTCTTCCTTCAGGAGCTGTACCCGTGAGCACACGTGCTGGGTCTCAAGGCGATGGTGTGGTTAACCGTGGCCTTTACCTCCCACAGGAGCAGCATGACTTTACCTTTCCGTTAGCAGTGTGTGAGGGTCCAGTCTCCCCACATCCTCCCCATTGTTTGCTGCCTACCGTACTCCAGTTGTCTTGGTGTGCAAAGTGTTTTATATCCTGGCTTTGATTGGCAGTTGCCCGTGCCTCATACGTGGACCTCCTGTTCCCTCCTGTGTGATCTTGGAAGAGATGACCATTCAGATCCTTGTTTATGTTTTGGATTGTTTGACTTTGATTTGAGCTTTAAGAATTTTTCTATATATGCTTGACACAAGTCTATTGTCAGATGCATGATTTGCAAACATCTTTTTCCCCTGATCTCAGGGCTCTCTTTGTTGATGGCATCCTTTGAAGAACAGGTTTCTAATTTTGATAATTGTTTGTTCTTGCTCCTTATATCATATCCAGCAAGGCTTTGCTCTACCCAAGGTAGTGAAGATTTATTCCTGTGTTTTCCTCTAAGAGTTTGTTTAGTTTGCTCTCTTCCAGTTAGATCTCTGGTGCATTTTGAGTTAATTTTGCATGTGTTGTGAGGTAGACGTCCTTCACCCACATCTCCACTTCTTTGAGAGCCCTGTAGGCCTGAGCTTCTCCACAGTGGACAGTGGCTCATGCTCTTTATCTTTTTCTAAATATTGAAAATAAAACTTTGTAATCCCAGAACTTGGACGGCTGAGGCAGGAGGATCGCTGTGAGTTCGAGACCAGCCTGGGCTACACAGTGAGATACTGTCTCAAAAAAACAAAAAAAAAGAAAAAAGAAAAAGAAAGAAAGCTTTTATGATTATGGAAATTACATCACCACTAAGTTAATTTGTGTGGTTGGTGTTGATCTGTGTGTTTTGTACCTCAGAGGTCACCTTCGTCCCCGTGTCCAAAGTGAGCGGGCAGGCAGAGGCAGAGGACATCATGGCCGCGGTCCGCCCAACCACATGCCTCGTGACCATCATGCTGGCCAACAACGAGACCGGCGTCGTCATGGTGAGCCAGCCTGCTCCTCTCTGCAAAAGCTGTGGCAGACCTGGGCCGTGCCTTTCCTCCTCAGTTTTGCAGCTTTTTGTGTGTCCTCATGAACTCGCTTCTTCCATTCAGTCTTCATCCGTCAAAGCCACACCCTGGCTCTTTATCTCCCCCACTTTAGCCTGTCTCTGAAATCAGCCAGCGTGTGAAAACCCTGAACCAGAAGCGGGCGGCTTCTGGTCTGCCCCGCGTGCTCGTGCACACAGATGCTGCGCAGATGGTGGGGAAAAGGCACGTGGACGTGGAGGACCTGGGCGTGGACTTCCTGACAATCGTGGGCCACAAGGTGGGTCTGCAGGGGCCGAAGGGTGTCCTGTCCATCCCGTAAGCCTGACCGTCTGCTGTGAGCAAGGCTTTGGCATTTTTGAGACAGTCTCACCATGTAGCCCAGCCTGGCTTTGAACCCCCAGCAGCCCTCCTGCCTCAGCCTCCAGAGTGCTGGGACTGCAGGTGTGCATCATCATGCATGGCCTGTGCTATTTTGAAGCATGATCCTCAGCCAGTGTCCAAAAGGACTGAAAAGTTATGCATCGTATCTGTTGGAGACGTGGACTCACACAGGAAGCAGCCTGGCCTGTCTCTAGTCTCTCCACAGACTGTTGCCCACTGCAGAGCTATCACTAGTGTCCAGCTCTTGCCTGGCCTCAGCTGGGGCTCTGCCTTGTACCCAAGGCTGCTGGGACCTTGGCTGGAGAAAGCCAAGGAGCCACAGGATCTGAGGCTGTGCTTTGCTGACATTTCCTTCCAGTTCTATGGCCCCAGGATTGGTGCGCTGTACGTACGAGGCCTCGGCAAGCTGACGCCCCTGTACCCCATGCTGTTTGGAGGTGGACAGGAGCGGAATTTCAGGCCAGGGTAGGTAGGAGGCCGACAGTCCCTGAGCTGCTGGCCGTACCACTCGCCTGGGGAGCAGGGACTGCTGCTTTGTGGTCATGGTGGCACTGAGTGGCACCATGCACACCATGGTCGAGCCAGAGCCGGTGCTGCTATGGGTTCCGCCCTTAGGCTCCCAGGTCTGCAGTCCCAGTGACGTGAGCACCTGCCAAGGAGAGCCCTCCCAGCCTAACTGCTCAGGCATCCGGTACCTTGTGTCATTGCAGCGCCTGTGGGCCATGGTGGCCGGGATGTGCAGTTGTGCCCTTCACCGGGGCTCAGCAGGCCACAGCGCACTCAGCCCTTTCTGAGCGCTCCTGTGCCCCATTACGTACAGTGACAACTGAGGCAAGAGTTAGCTGGTTGAATTCAGTGATATATTAAAAAATGTGGACCGAGACCAAGTGGAGTTTATCTCAGGGATGAAAGGCTGGTTCAGTATTCAACCAGTGTAACTCACCACATTTGTTACTCAGCTTTCCACCGTGGGACAGGATCCCTGTGAGAAACAGTTTGGAGGAGAAAAGGCTGATTTGGGCTGGGGGTCTGTTGGGGTCAGTCCCTGGCCAGCTGGCTCCAGGGCAGGGCAGCAGGGAAGAAGGGCCTGGCAGAGGAGAGCTGCTAACTCGGGGTGCCCAGGGAACAGTCACACTCTTCTGGGGCACACCCCAGGTCTAAGAGCCCGTGCAGCTGCGAGCGCATCTATGACCGGGTGTCCATTGCTGAGGTTACTGTCCTTGTGATCCAGTCATCCTTACCTGACCTCTGGACACACGAGCCCTTGGGTGAACACTTTTTATCTAAACCTCAACACCACATGTAATAGATTGAATGTATAAAGAAAACTAACAGGTCACATTATTTGATGTGGAAGAAATCCATTCATGTTAAAAACCCTCAGAATAATAGGGTTAGAGGGGAATTTCCCAGCTGGAAGAGAGCACCTACGAAAAGCTTACAGCACGCACTGTGCCTTGTGTGAGGGCCCAAGGGTCTACCCTGTGGCCAGGACAGTGCAGCGGTGTCTGCTGTTGCCACATATGATCAGCATCGTGGTGGATGCCAGAGGTGCCCTCAGAACTGCAGGGCACAGGGCTAAGTAAATGCAAACAGGTCAGAAAGGAAGAGGGAGGGCCAGAGGGGCCGCTCTAGCATGTACAAGCCCCTCAGGTCAAGCCCATGCCACAAAAGAGGTAAAACTACCCCCACCAGATCACGAGAGCCCATGATGAGGGAGAAAACCCCAAAGAAAACACTAGGGAATGTCTAGAGCTAGTAAGTGAACACAGCAAGGTCATGGAACACGGGATAAATGTTTTAAAATCTTGTGGCCTTATATACTGGTAATGAACAGATGGACAATAGAATAAAAACCATGTGCAATAAAACAACACATAGGACTTCTACACTGTAAACTGCACGGTGTAGATGGAAAACCCAAGATGTAAGTAAATGACAGAGCACGTTCACAGACCAGAAGATTCAACATAGTAGAGATGTCCTCACTCCGAATTGCTGCGCACACCCACCATGGTTTCCACCAAAACTCCAGCAGCAGTGGGACTCAGACTTCGAGCACTGTGCCCAAGTGTTTTCCAAGGGGGCTGATGTTCCATGGGCAGAGAACCCTTAACGAAGGTGCTGGACCAAATAGATGTCAGAGGTCAGAGCAAACCTTGGCAGAAGTCTCACACTGATAAAACACCAGCTCAAAATAGGTTGTGAAACCAAGTGTAAAGCATAAAATATAAAACTTATGGGAAAAACCCCACAGAGGACCATCAGGACCTATGGCCAGGCAGAGATCTTGGACTTGACGTGAGAAGTCCCTGTGGTGTAAAATGTGGGTAAGTTGGGCTTCATTGAAATGCAGGACTTGTTTTGTGAAAGACCTTGCTAAGGACAAAGGGCACGCTAAGTACTAGAAAGAGTTGTTTTCAAATGGCACACCTGGCACAGGACTGCTGCCCAGGGTACACAGAGGACTCTGGACAGGCGTCTGAAGGCGGGCAAAGGCATTGGATGTCTCACTGAAGAAGGGAGCGGGCAGGTGCGCGAGCAGCTGTTCCCAGGGTCCCATCCTGTCCCAGGGGGGTTAGTTGGGAGATGCAGGTCAGCCCACAGGGAGCAACTAGTGACGGGACCTGGGCTGGGAGGACGCTGGGAGGTCACCTTCAACTGGCCCGGAGCAGCAGAGGTCCAGAGAGCGGTTCCACCAGGACATGAATGACAGAGTGTAGCATCCGTGTTGTTCCTCTCTGCAGACTGAAGGCTTTGGGCCTCGGTTCAGTGGATGTGAGTATTGGAGCACTGTGCTGCTCCCTGCTGTGGCCTGGGCCCAGAGGGTCCCAACTGCCCCCATCTGCACCAGTGTGTGTGGGCACCTGGGGACCATCACGGGCTGGGCACGGCTGCCAGGAGCACCTATGTGGCGCCCTTCTGGGAAGGATGCATGGCTTCCTCACTACTTGACCACAGGCTCCCTTCTGGACATCTGTCCAGATAACCCCTGTCTCCTGCAGGACAGAGAACACCCCAATGATCGCTGGTCTCGGGAAGGTAAGCCAGCAGCTCCCCGCAACCGGAGCTGGCAGACCAGGCTGTGGGAGGGCATGTTCAGGACCCCAGGCAGGCTCATGGGAAAGCCTTGACTTGCCTTCATGGCCTGGGGACCAACTGGAGATAAGTAGGGTGGGTGAGCCTGCTTGCACTTAAAGGGAAAGGGTCAGCTGGCTGTGGTGCCTGTGACACCAGCACTCTGGGAGGCCGAGGCAGGAGGACTCCCAGCCTGAGCACCTGAGTGTCTTGGCGGGACCCTGTCTCAAAGTTAGAAGGGCTGGGTTTGCAGCTCAGAGGCCCTGGATTCTGTCCCCTGTACTGCAAAAAGGAGAGAGAAGAAAAGTTTCTCTGTCCTAGTCTGATGGCAGTGGTATGCTCACCTCAGACCCACCATCAAGCCTAAGCCTGTCCCTGAGCCACCCGCTCAGTCCCTAGGGCCTGGCATGGAGGCCACCATGACCAAGTTCAGCCTCTGCAAGTCCCCAGGCCCTCCTGTTCTCCAGTGGGGCTTGTGCAGAGGGGACAGTGGCCAGAAGTGGGTGTGGAGATTCTGCGGGGGCCATGGCAGGGTGAGCTGCCCTAGCATGTGCCACCCAGGCCCCACACAGCTGCTGCTGCCTTGCTGCACGGGACTGAGCAGGCCCCCACATCCTGTGTCTGTCCCTAGGCTGCTGAGCTGGTGACCAAGAACTGTGAGGCCTATGAGGCTCACATGCGGGACGTCCGGGATTACCTGGAGGAGAGGCTGGAGGTGAGCAGGGTTACAGCAGGTGGAGGACGTGAGTCCAGGCCCCGAAGGACATTGCCATGAAGGCAGGCTCTCAGGAGGGCTCACTGGTGCCTCCTCTCGGCTTCCCAGGCTGAATTTGGCAGGAAGAGGGTCCACCTGAACAGCTGCTTCCCCGGGGCTGAGCGCCTTCCCAACACCTGCAACTTTTCCATCCGGGGACCTCGGCTCCAAGGTGACCACGTGGCTCCATCCCCTCCCGTGAGGGCTTGGGCTTCAGCCTTGCCAGCTGGGTTGTGGGTCCCTGTGGCTGGCCACTGACCTCGCAGTCCATGAATGCCTTAGGGCCAGGCCTCAGCTGTGGGGGAAGAAACAGAGCCACCCTGCAGCACATCCAGAAACAGTAGCACATCCAGCCCGGCTACAATCTTGGGATGTTTGTGAGGGGACGGAGAGGCAGTTGGGCTGGACAGCTGGCTCACAGTGAGGGAAGGGGTACGGGACAGCGGTTGGAGCCCTCCCCCTGCAGGCCTGGCCTACCTGGGCGCCCTGAGTTGGGGACGTGGTTCCCAGGGTCACACAGGCCCCAGCATCCTGCGGGAACTGGGGTAGCCCAGGAACAGGGCTCTGTGTCCTCGGAAAGGAAGCAGAGGTTCAGCCCCACGTGGAAAGCAGCATCCCAGCCCTACTACTGCTCTGTTGACCGTAGGCCTCCAGCCCCGCAGGGGCAGCAGAGGCACAGGGGTCTGTGCTCTCCAGCCTGGAGCTCAGCGTCTCTGAGCTTGATGACCTTCAGAAGTGTCAGTTCAGTTTGAGGCCAGGCTGACAGGCAGGTGGTGTGTGCTGGCTGCAGTGGGAGAGAGGGCCCTCTCCCCTGGATACTGCCGGGTGCTCCCTCCGTCCCTGGGCCAGGGCCGAGGTGCTGGGTCTCAGGGCCACGCTGTCTGTGCAGGTTACCTGGTGCTCGCACAGTGCCAGACACTGCTGGCCAGTGTGGGGGCTTCGTGCCACTCGGACCACGGGGACCGGTGAGTGCATCTGGCCAATCCAGGGCTCAGGCAGAGTGGGTGCCCACGGGTGTCGTGGAGCTGAGCACAGGCCTGTGATGTGCTCTGGGTGGGACTGTGCAGCGGGAGTGGAGGGGCCGAGGCCAGCTGAGTGCAGGGAAAGGGCACAGGTAGCCTGAGGGACGATCTGTGAGGAGCTCTGGAGTGGTCATCATTGGCCACAGAGATGGACAGGGAAGGGGATGTGGATCCCCCACTCCTTCTGGTGTCCCCATGCCCTGGGCACAGGAATGGAGGCACCCTGGGGAGGCCAGTGAAAGGATGGAGAAGCCACAGGGCACTCTGGGCCCTCAAGGGCCTGGTTGGGGTGCAGGGGAGGGCAGGTGAGTATGGGGGGCCCTGCCCTTGCTGGAAGTGCACACCTGGGCACAGTCCCCTGGTGGCCCCAGCCTGGAGCCCTGACCCTGACTCCCTCGTGGGCCCTGGCTGGCAGGGCTGGGCTGTGCCTGCAGCATGGAGGCAAAGTGCTCTGTGCCCTGTGTCACTGAGGGGCCCCATGGCCTCTGACCCTGAAGGGTGGGCTTCTGTGGGGCAGCTCCGAGGCCACGTGGGGAGACACAGGCTTTAATGGGGCCTGACTGTGCACTGAGGGGCCCCATGGCCTCTGACCCTGAAGGGTGTGCTTCTGTGGGGCAGCTCCGAGGCCACGTGGGGAGACACAGGCTTTAATGGGGCCTGACTGTGGGCAGGAGGGGGCACCGAGCTGTGCTTCTGTTGCCAACACTGTCCCCATGCCAGGCCGTCCCCGGTGCTGCTCAGCTGTGGCGTCCCCTTCGATGTGGCCAGGAACGCACTCCGGCTCAGTGTGGGCCGCAGCACCACCAGGGCTGACGTGGACCTCGCTGTGCAGGACCTGAAGCAGGCTGTGGCCCAGCTCGAGGGGCAGGCCTAGGTGTCTACCGCCCTCTAGGACGCCTCAGGGAGCATTGGGCAAGTGCCTTCCTCCCACCTGCCTGGCACAAGCTCCACTGCCCAACCTGGGGCACCGGCACCACATGGGCCGTTCTCACCACACCGTGGGGCCACATGCCCATCCTGCAGGATGGGTGGGCCTGTCCAAGTGTCCCCCTCTGGAAGGTGGTGTTTTACCCCAAAGATAAAATCCACATACCCATCTCAGAGAGCTAGTATCACAAAAATAGGAAACAGCTGGATGCTGTGGTGGGGTGGAATCCCAGCTACCGTGGAGGCTGAGGCAGGAGGATGGCAAGTTTGAGGCCAGCCCAGCCTACCAGGTGAGACCCTGCTTTAGTAGACGTCAAGGTACAGCCTGGGGTAGAACACCTGCCTGCTGTGTGCCCAGGGCTGAAAACAGGAAGCTTTTTGTTGCTTGGATCTGCACACATTGGCAAGGGGTTCCTGGGCCCTGAGCCCTTTCCCGACTGGGGCCCCTTCAGCCTTGCCATTCACTCCACTGTGCTGACCTGGAGTGGGTGTCAGACCATCCCCAACTCTTGTCACCTTTTTATTCACACTCTGAATCACTTCCATGTAGCACGGTGCTATGTCAAAGGCTGGCCCCACACAGAAAGGCACCGGAGTTCTGAACACGTGGTTTTGAGGAGTACAGAGCTGCAGGGGAAGCCAGGAAGCAGCCGAGTGAGCTAATAAAATATTTCAGTGCTTGCATGGATGCCCTGTGCTCTTTGGCAGACCTGGGGAGGGGCATTGGATTCCCTTGGGCCTTCTGTTGCTGGAGGGTGGGCTGGGGCAGCCAAGAGGACCCCACGACATGCCCTGATGGGAGGGTGGAGCCCCTTGGGCAGCGCCAGGAGGGCTGGGGGAGTTGGAACCACGCTGCTGTGTCTGTAAGTAGAGACCCCTCTCCTGGCACGGACCAGAACCCTGGTGGCAGTTTCCTCCCAAGGCGAGGTACTGGCGGGAGATGGGAGATGAAGACTGTAAGGGGGTGACCTGCCCCCACCTCCTCCCTGGCCTGCTGGCCCTGTCTCTCAGACCCCCACATGCTCTGCACTCTCAGTGTCTGGCCTCTGGTGCTGCAGGAGCAGCTGGGGGGG